GGGAGTTCCTCGGGTCACCCCACCCCCTCCTGTTTGAGAACTTGGAAATTGTCGAGATCCCCACCCCTAAACCATATAAATTTAAGTCTCCCAAACAAAGTTTGGAAACTTAATGCTCAGTTCTTCTGATTTTTATTATTCTTCTTCTTCTTTTTCTTTTTCTTTTTCCGCCACTTTAAAGATGAACTTGTCCGCAGCGGTTCTCCAAGACATCATAAAATGTTAGATTAACATGTCTAGGGGAGCCATCAACCAATCGTTTGTGCATTGGGGTCTATTAAGGGGTATTTTAAGGGGCATAAAGAAGGGAGGGGTTTACTATAGAAACCTATGAGATTTTATTTTTTTTAATTTTCAAATGACTTTAACTTGAAAATTGTAAGTGATAGACACACACAGTCTTCAGAAATGATCACAGAACAATAAAACAAATCAGATGAAATATAGGGTGAGTGCCTGGGGTCACCCCACCCCCTTCAATTTGAGAATGTGCTATTATCTTGTAAACGGTCGAGATCCCCACCCCTAAACCATACATATTCTTGTATGGGACAATACTACAAATCAAATGAAATATAGGGGAAGTCCAGGGGGTCAGCTCCACCCCCCTTCTTTTTTAGAACTTGTAAACGGTCAAGATCCCCATCCCTAAACCATATATATTCTTGTATGGGACAATAAAACAAATCAAATGAAATATAGGGGAAGTCCAGGGGGTCAGCTCCACCCCCCTTCTTTTTTAGAACTTGTAAACGGTCAAGATCCCCATCCCGAAACCATATATATTCTTGTATGGGACAATAAAACAAATCAAATGAAATAAAAGACGAGCCCCTGGGGTCACCCCCACCCCCTCCTGTTTGAGAACTTGTAAACGGTTGAGATCCCCACTCCTAAACCATATATATTCTTGTATGGGACAATAAAACAAATCAAATGAAATATAGGGGAAGTCCACGGGGGGAAACCATATATATTCTTGTATGGGACAATAAAACAAATCAAATGAAATTAAGGGGAAATCCCCTGGGGTAACCCCCACCCCCCTTCTTTTTGAAAACTTGTAAACGGTCAAGATCCCCACCCCTAAACCATATATATTCTTGTATGGACAATAAAACAAATCAAATGAAATAAAAGGCGAGTCCCCTTGGGTCACCCCTACCCCCCTCCTGTTTAAAAACTTGTAAACGGTCGAGATCCCCACCCCTAAACCATATATATTCTTGTATGGGACAAAAAAAACAAATATGAAATAAAGGGCGAGTCCTCTGGGGATCACCCTCCTCCCTTATATTCTTACCCCACCCCTTTCAATTTGAGAATGTGGTTTTATCTGGTAAACGGTCGAGATCACCACCCCTAAACCATATATATTCCTGTTCGTCATTTCAAGAAGATTTGAATGACATACAGGGTTAATCCATAGGCGTCACTTATGCATATCACAAACCAATTTGTACTGGACTTTGCCCAATGTCAAGCGACCATGGGAATGACGAATTATTGGAGCTTTGTTTGGGAGACTTCGTAACAGCATCCTGTTACAATTATTTCTTGTCATGTATGGGACAATAAAACAAATCAAATGAAATAAAGGGGGAGTCCATGGGGACACCCCACCCCCTCTTGTTTGAGAACTTGTAAACAGTCAAGATCCCCACCCCTAAACCATATATATTCATGTATGGGACAATATAACAAATCAAATGAAATATAGGGGGAGTCCCTGGGGTCACCCCACCCCTCCTGTTTGATAACTTGTAAACGGTCGAGATACCCACACCTAAACCATATTTATTCCTGTTCATCATTTCAAAAAGATTTGTATGACATACAGGGTCAATCTCCTAGGTGTCACATATGCATATCACTTTACTAGACCAAACCAATATGAACTGGACTTTGCCAACGGTCAGAAGACCATGGGAATGACGAATTATGGGGGCTTTGTTTGGGAGACTTCGTAACGGCATCCTGTTTCAATTATTTCTTGTTTATTATAAAATTTTATTGATGCAAAAAATGAGTCTAGGTTAATTGAATTTACTTTAATTATTTATAAAATAATTTATGGGCCTATAATAATTTTCATTTATGGCTCATTTTAAAGAAAACATATAAATTTTTCAAGCAGTGTAAAGCCCGAGAATGTTTGACCAACTGTTTTATGATCACCTGTCATTTTATTCCAAACTTGGTATGGAGTAACATCATGCATATGGGGGTGAAGATGGGGGTCATTTACATTGATATATGAGTTGCTTTTGAAAACCTTGATGAAATATTAATTGATTTGCCTTAATAATCAATTCATTTAATGAACATAAATGTACAATATACGAATTTTTAATGTTTGTTCTTTCAAATCTTTAAAAAAAAATTGAAGCAACACTGCCACAGTTTTCATAATTACGTTTGCCTTTGTTTTTGGTTAACTGCCTACAGCGCTTACAGTGCTTTGATTATTATTTTTTGGTGATGTTGTACCCTTTCAGACTTGTTATATATATATATACATACTGTATACACTATTTGAAAAAAAATCTTTTATCATACATGTCATATCTATGGTTTTACCTTGTCAAATTCATCAAACTAGAAATAATTGCTTATTCACTTATAATTGCTGATATTGTTTCCATTGTCATCAGATGACATTGAAATGATTGTGGTTCATTATGTAATTATGTCTATAATGAATTGAAATACATTGGCTTGCAATCATTAGATAACTTATATTTCACTTCTTTGACAACTTTATTTATAGGTAAACATATGGTAATATGATGTAATTTTTTTTTTGATTTCTTCACTCAGGCTTCAGGTTTTATCCAATTAATGTATTAACACAGTAACAATGGGGTATTCAGAGGTTGGGTGAAGAGGGCATACACCCCCTTTGATTGGAAAATATATTTTTTTAATTTACTTCAAGCAGTCACATGTACAACTCTTTTGTCCTTAGTTCAAATAAAGTGACAGACATTGCATGAAACTGTCAGAAGGCTTATAGGAGTTATGGCCCTTTTAATGACAAATTTTACCAATTTTTAATAATAAATTTTCTTCTTACCGGGAAGTCAGTTTGTTAGGAACTACTTGTGAATGATCAATAGTATTTTCTATAAAGTGGCATTGCTATCAGTGCTATCAGTGCATATCAGTTTGAAGACTATTTTGAGGCCCTGCCGACAGGCGGGACATATATATCTGTGTCAACAGTTTATTATCATTTTGTTTTGCCGTTTTACCTCTTATCTTGAAATCTTATAGATTGATAGAAACCTTAAAAATAAAAAATGATCAGCAAGACAAGATCTACAAATAGGTCAGCCAAGATGTAATTGTCAGGTGTTATTTTCTAGGAGTTTTTGCCCTTAAAAAACAATATTTTCCCTTTTTTGTGTTTTGGGCAAAAACTATTGAAGATATAGAGGAATAGCAAACAGAAAAAAATGATCCAAGATCAGCAAAAAAGCGATTTTACTCATAAATTATATTCTAGTCTTAAATGTTGAGGAAAGTCCATTGATGAAGATTCACATAGACCTAGGTAAGCGACACAGGCTCTTATGAGCCTCTAACTAAAATCTGAAAGCAAATTATATCCTCAACTCAACATGGTTTGCAGTACTTAATAGTAAATATGAAACAATGGTATAATTTGATTGAATCCCTATCCATAACAGTGCCTTTATATCTATGTAAAGGGTATGTCCTTAACATGTAGTCCTCCACACCTAGGCTGCCCTTGATGTGTAGACCATAGAGCTAAGAGTGCCCCCTGAGAAAAAATTACCCTGCCCCTTTCATAAGATGCATTACATGTACTTATAGCAATGGACAGGATTTACTTGCACATTGCTAGATCTTGATGAGTATTTGATTTATGGGTCTCTAACCTATTTCTTATGATTTTATATACATGTAGGTTGAATTCATAAAGGTCATGAATTAGTGAATTGAAATAATGAAAGATGATATATAATTTGTACCATTGAAAGGCTTTAAGGTGTAAAGGGTTTATACATAAGAACAGTAACGACAGTTGCTTGAAACATTTAAAGTGATTTATTGATTCTATGAACAACTTCACTGAGATCATAAAATATTAATATACAATAATGTACAATCAATGGACAAGGTCACATAGGAATTTTAAATAGGTTTTGTAAGGATTTGTTTAAAACAAAGGAAAAGTTCCTAGAAGTTTGTCTCATGTATCAGGTATATATTTTTTAAATGACTCCAATTATAACTGATAATGATTGAAATCATACAGATCCTCAACTTTCTAATTGATTCTAACTAATCTTATGATGCTATAACTATTACACCTGCATGACCTGTTACTACAAAAATGAAACTTTTAATCAAGTATCCTCAGACATGTCCTGTTAAGTCATTTCTGGAATAAGCTTTTTCCATGCATGGAATGACTTTATTTCTTCTCAAATTAACATAGAATGATAAATAATTCAAATTTTATTGTATCACTTTAAAGTCAGTTCATCATGTTCATTAAACATTTATAAGACAAATTCAAGACTTCAAGGATTTTATTGCTTCAACGAATTGAGTTTGAGGATAAATATAATTGCAAACATTACAATTCAACATCCCTGAGTTTGAGAAAAGTATTTGTGAACATTACGACTTACATTTGACTGACACAGTGGTACATGTAAAATGTTTGACTATGTTGGTCATGATTCTGTAAACAAGGTTTGTAATTGTAATTTATTATGATTGTGTCGAGTCAGCAGTTCACACACAGCATATTATTTTTAAATATTATCTACAATGTAGTTCACTAATCTTTTTCATTTGATTTACAAAACTAATTACTAATCTAATTAAAGACTAAACTTTAGACAATTGCCCAAAAATATACTTAACTACATGAAATGAAACCTAATCATAGATTGGAAACAAATTAATTACTGTATTATATATATATTATGATATATTTGTCAATATTTATGTTTAATTTTCAGACTTGATATATTTTTGTTAATGGAATGAAACAATATGCCTAGAAAGTTACCATTTAGAGTGATTCATGCCTCAGGGCAGGACGAAAGTTACAGAGCCTCAGAACTTAATTACCATAGTCCTTTAACCAAGGGATGGCAGGCATCAAGGTAATTGACATTTACAAATGTTTTAATTAAGTGGTTTATTCCCGATTGTCCCACTTTTTAAAATTTTAGAGTTCTGATTGTCCCACATGAAAAGTTCTGATTGTCCCACATGAAAAGTTCTGATTGTCCCACATTATTTTATGAAGTAAAATGTTCTTAAATAAACAAGGTATATATTGTTTGTTTTGCTAGATAAACAAGAATTAATTATTGCATGTTCAAACTTTTATTTAATATAAATTTTATAAAAGCATAAGATATGATTTTTTTTGGTATATCATCAGATTAATGCACTTTTGAGTAAATAATATAACATTTATGAGTTATATTTATAAGCTTACGTTTATTTATATAAAACAAATATCAATACTGTGATTTTAATTTAAATTTTTTTTCGAAAGTTTTTAAAATGAATTAAGATATAATCCATGCAATTTAAAGAAAAGTGTAACTTAAAACTTAATTACGCTGTTCACTATACACGCACTAGTTGATGGAGAGATGTTTCCACTAGTCTTTGCACTTTTACCAGTGAAGTCAGATGCCATTTACACAAGATTCTTTATCATACAGAATACAATCTGATGGTGGTGACGGCAACACCGTTAACTATTTGTAAAGCTTTATATTTCAGGAGGTAGAGGAATCGGATGGCTCATATTTTGTATATAGATCCATTGTGGATCTATGAACAAGGTTAAGTTTCAATGGCCAAGGCCATATCTCAGATGCTATAAGTAGTGGGTCAAATACTTTTGGTGTATGGAATGGTAGCAGGGTGTACATGTCTTTGTGACAGAGTTAATCTGACCTTACCTCATTTACATGGAACATTGATAATGTTAATTTTATGTAGTACTAGTTGTATAATATAAAAATAAGGAGATGTGGAAGTAAGCATTTATAGGCAACCGTATGGCTTCAACAATGAGAAAGCCCATACAGTATGGTCGGCTATAAAATGCCCCGATATGGAAAATTTTATATAATTCATTTGAGAAAACTAACAGCCAAAATAACTAAACAATTTACCAAAAAAATTATGACAAACATGAACCAACGACAACCACTCAAATACCGGCACGATACTGACTTGGGACAGGCATATACAGAATGTATAATCCTTTTTTCAAAGACTTTCTACAAAATACAGTAAGTTAGTAAAACATGCTGTAATAGTAGAATCCTAGTTTTTACGGTAACGATGTTTATGATCATACTTTTCTAAGACTATTGATGACGTCCTTACATTAGCTTTCAATAAGGGGACGACCATTTGATTTCGAAAGGGGGAGGGGAGGAGGATTTTGAAAATGAATAACTTGGCCTAGTATTAACTGAAAATAAATGACTTTGCACAAGACAGGATGAAAAATTGATATGTGATGTTTTTTTACTTAATATTATATTCTATGATTGATGATACTTCAATTGTACACTGATTGTTTACCTGTAACTATTCCTTCTACACCCTATACAAACAAATTAATCACTATCAAAACAATTCCCGATTGTCCCACATTTAAGCTTCCCAATTGTCCCACAAACATATTCCCGATTGTCCCACAAAATTTCATTACTTTTTTACCTGTAATTTTAAAAAGTGGGACAATCGGGAAGACACTAATTAAGTCTATCTAGTTTTAATGCTATTTGATTTGCCTCTTCATGAAGTTTTTGTCTGTTTTCATAAATATGTTGAATGATCATAATGATGATTTATGTTAAAACAAAATTTGACCTCCCCGCCCCTTTTTACAATAATAATACCCCACTCCAAAAGGAGGGAGGTAAACTGGTTTACCTCTGTCAGTCCATTGAAATTTTCGTCTCACTTTTCTCAGTAACTACAGATCACAGCTTCCTGACATTTTGTATCAAGATTCATGTGAGCACATTATACCTTCTGATGCATTTTCATGTTCATCACTCATCAACTTCCTGTTTACCAAATAATTATAAATATATTCTTAACATAACATTCATGTGTGAAATTTATGTCCCATTTTCTAAGAACTATGGATCACTGCTACTTTCATATTGGTATCAACATGATCAAGCTTTGTGTGAGCATGCTTGAACTTGTTATGGTTTTCCACTTTCTATCCTCCTGTTAACTGAATACTTACAGGGGGCTTATCATAAGTGAGCAGTAGCTCCCAGTTCAACTTTTTTCAATAGGCCTATCTTTATAGAATAACTAATCGAAGAATTCAAATATCGAAAAATATTCAACAACACATTAATTCACAAATGCGCGTATTAATGCAATATCATCGACAACGACATGACAACACCTATTATTGTATGACGTAAGAGGTTTGAAATTATCAAATTCATTTCACATGTGAAATTATTGGTTTTCATTTCACTGGGAAATCACGGTAATTCATTGCAATCAATGTAATAAGAAGTTTTAATTATCTTAATTGTTTCAGATATTGTTTGTACCCACAAGACATTGTGTTACAGTTGGACCAACGATGTCGTTTACGGAAAATACAAATTCTCTCTCACCAGTATCTCATAGGTGAGTCTTCAAATCATTGTATATCTTCATCAAATGAAAACATGTTTATAGTTATAGCCTTCTACTCATACCTGGGATCGTCCTGAACATGCATGAAATATTTGCCACTGGATGTTAAGCATCCAACAATCCATTAATCATCATTCCTGGGACCAGGGTTGATATTTTCTCTCTAACCAAAAATAGGCAATATATGAAAACTCATGTATATTCATGTGTATAGCAAAATAATTTCTGCTGTCTTGATTTTATGTTTCGTAGGATTAAATATGTTGGAGGACTAATAGATTTGACGTAGGCATGATGATTTTGAAAAAATATTTTAACATTGTACTCAAAAAAGCGATCTTTAACTGTATTGTACTATAAAATACTTTTAAATCTCTGTGGATTTTTGCTTTTTCCACCTATCCATGTGGGCAAAAACCCAACCAAGTCAACTCTTAGAGTTCGGAGGAGCACATAGATTTTTAAGTGATATATATATTAATTGAATATCTTTTCAGCAACCAAGATAGAATTTTTTGTGGGTGATGTCCCAGAGGATATGTCACCTAATCTGGAAAATGCCAGATATACAAGACTTGGGTAAGTACGGAATTACTTCCCCTTCTTAATGCATACAGACAACATTACTGCTGTGTAATCACCTATATCATGTTGAGATTTATGCATCTCATTTCCCATTTGAGCTAGAGGCATTATCTGAGGGTTGGATATAATAGGGAGGAATGATTCCTAGACTGAGATGCATTTAATTTGAAATTGAAAATTTACTTTTGACTGTATTCTTTTGACTCTGTGGCAAGAGGGACAACTATCAGAACACAGCCTGTTACCAAGGATTTATAGAACGAAAATGGCTCCTAACTTAGTATGTTTACTAGTTTATGCTCACAAACATGTTCATACACTTATTCTAAAAGGTTACCAATTCAACACTGTAATTAGATCTTTGAATATTGTTTTTATTGGTATAAATATTGATTTTGTTATGAGTAAATTAAAATCTGTAATTCAGTGGTTGTCGTTTGTTGCTGTATATCATATTTGTTTTTCGTTCATTGTTTTGTACAAAAATCAGGCGGTTAGTTTTCTTGTTTGAATTGTTTCACATTTGCCATTTTCGGGCCTTTTATAGCTGACTATGTGATATGGGTTTTGCTCATTGTTGAAGGCTGTATGTTGACCTATGGTTGTTAACTTCTATGTCTTTTGGTCTTTGGTTGAGAGTTGTCTCATTAGCAGTCATACCACATCTTCTTATTTTTTTATTAACCCTGCCTCATTCTGTATGTGCCCTCCCAAGTCTGGACCCTTTAATTCAGTGTTGTTGTTTTTCTTGTCTGTCTTATTTGTTTTTTGTAAAATTGTATTGTTATGAATTAGACATTTGTGTTCCTGTTTGAATTGTTTCACATTTTTCATGTCGGGCCTTTCTTAGCTGACTATTGGGTATGGGGTTTTCTCATTGTTGAAGTACGTATAGTGACCTATAATTGCTTATCAATTCCACATCATTTGAACTTTGGTAGAAAGTTGCCTCATTGCAATCATATCACATCTCCTTATTTTATATAACTAATATGGTGTCTTTGTTATCTTCACATCTTCTCTCTTTCCCACAGATATGTGTCATTATCAGACAATGAAAAGACAGGATTTAAGGCCAGAGAACTCAAGTCTGTCCATGTGGATGCTGTAGGCCTGTACTTGAAACTCAACATCCATAAAAACCATATCAACAAATATAATATTTATAATCAGGTAAGTTATTAACCTAATTAAAAACATATCAACAAATGTAATATCTATAATCAGGTTTGTTATCTTACAATAAAATGGAGGTGAAATATACCAAAGGGACAATGAAAACTCATATCAAAGTGAAAAGAGAACCTGACAAAAAACAAAAAAAAATTTGTAAGGGTTCCGCTGAAACCAGTGTCTCTCCTACTTTTGCTGTTAGTCGCAGCCTCAACAAAAATGGGGAAAAATTTTTAAAAATTCCTCTAGATACTATCTTTTGATTGTAAGAAGCTTCTATTCAAGTTTGGTAAAAATCCAGGATGGTTTATGAATCTAATAAATGTTTTAAAAACTTTAACCACAGAGTGAATGTAATGTTAACTGGAAAAAAAACCAAGTCCATTTATAAGTAAAATACGGATAAATAGGATTTTATTTTTACAAAATTTGCTTCTAGATACTAGCTTTTTATCATAAACAAGCTTCTGTCCAAGTTTGGTAGAAATCCAGGATAGTTTAAGAAAGTTATTAAAATTTCAAAAACTTGAACCACAGAGTGAATATTTGTGGACGCCGCCGCGGACGGAATGTAGGATCGCTATGTCTCGCTTTTGCGACAAAAGTTGCAGGCTCAACAAAAATCATGACAAAATACAAAAACAAGATAGCAGTCTACAACACATTACATAGAAAACTAAAGCAACACGACCTCCACCCCAAAAAATCTGGGGGTCATTTTCTGGTGCTTTGGAAAACTGGGTAGATCCTGCTCCAAATGTGGAATAAAAATGATATCCACATATATACTTTATAAGGTATGGAAATCAACAATCATAATAACAATTTATAATAAATTTGCAATTTTGTATGGCGCTAATTATACTTAAAACTCAGGGCAACTTATGATATTATAAGATACAGAACTTTATTTAGAATGGAAAACTCTTCAACTAATACAATATTTATTAGTGCATAAAGAATATTTTTTGTATTTGAGATTAGACAATGTTATCTCCAGTATTCATTTGACCTCATTGTGAACCTTGAACCATAATGCAAACAATACATGTCTACTGTCCTTTTTTGTTTTCAAGAGTAAAGTCAGAATGACACAGACACCTTACAAGACAAAAGAAAAACACAAGCACTCGCATTGACGGATGCTTGAACAAAAATGTATATAATATTAAAAGTTTGTTTTATTTGTTATCATAGTGAATAGTTGATGAACCGTTGAAAATGAAAATTAGAATGAATGGTTTAAGGTGAATGTTATTGTACATTACTAATTGGTTAAAAAAACAGAGGTATATTTTATTATGGACCTTATTTACAATTACGATTGCTATTTACAATTAAGATCAATATTAACAATTAAGATTGATGTTTACAATTAAGATTGATATTTACAATTAAGATTGATATTAACAATTAAGATTGATGTTGACAATTAAGATCGATATTAACAATTAAGATTGATGTTGACAATTAAGATTGATATTTACAAATAAGATTGATGTTTACAATTAAGATTGATATTTACAAATAAGATTGATATTGAGTTTTAGGCCTTCAATATGAAATGTACTTCTACTTTTCAGGTTGGAATTATAGCAATAAATGTGATAGGAGAAACACTGAAAGGACCGTCAGATTTTATGGACCCTGTGAGTATAGAATAGAATTCAGAACTTAGATTCTCATTCGTATGATTAGTTTTTGTCTTGCCAGCGACAGAAGTTGATGAACACGAGACCTAGGTATTGCTTTTCTGGCAGCTGAGGTAACGGCAGAGGAGGATGCATCAACAATTGTTAAGTTTTCTGCTTGAGTTAGTTTGATAGGAACTTCTTGTGATAGATCAATGATATTTTGTATTAAGTCACATTACTATTAGAACATATCAGTTTGATGGCTATTTCAAGGCCCTACCCCCTAGGTGAAGGTCCAGTGACTTTGAATTAATTATCAATTTTCAATGTTCAGTTTTCTGCTTAAGTCATTTTGATAGGAACTACTGGTGATAGATCAATGATGTTTTGTATAAAGTTGCATTACTAACAGTATGAATAAGTTTGATGACTATTTCAAGGCCCTGCCCCCTAGGTCATGGTCCAGCAACTTTGATTTGTTGCAATGTTGCTGTCCATCATATTGTCTTTTTTCGAATTTTCTGCAGACAGGCGAGACATATCTCTGTGTCAATGGTTCATTAATCTTGTTAACTTTTCCCCATTTATCAATTTTTAAACAATTTTAAAAAACAATTTCAAGATAGAATCGTAAACATATTTAGTGAAAAAATGTCAAACTGTAGTTTTAAAAGATTTTGACTAAGGTCATTTCTTCATATCAGTGTTCCAACCACATAAGCTACAGGATTATCAGTTTAACTTATATAAAGAAATCTGATTTCTCATTGGATAAATACATTTCTTGATATATGTTTTTGATAATATTAATCTTTTCCTGATTGCAGAATTAAATCAACATTTAAATAAAAATTGTTAGTTTTATATATCATTGCTGAAATATTATTTTGACCCACATAAAAAAGGACATCTTTATATCTCATATTTTATTGCAGGAATATTACCTTGACCCAGATAGAAAAGGACAACTTGATGACTTAGGATTAGATACATACAATAAGTAAGTTATATATTATTGGTTGGACACTGCTGTTAATTCTATGTTTTATTTATTGTGAATAAGTTTAACAGGATAAATATATCATTAATTTTAATGATTATGACTCAACATGATAAAATATAATCTTATGTATTGTTGTATGATATTTTCTGAAGTCACAGTTTAATTTCAGAGTTTATTTAGCTAATTATACAAAAAATATAGAATAAGGTGATCTAATGTGATATAATTGCAAATGGGAAAACAATCAACCAGAGATTAAATGATGTAGATATTGTTAATTGACTTTATCTTACTTTATTACAGACCAGACTATATATCTCCGTTAAGACAACTTAGCATTTGACATGTTCCAAGATCCTGAGAGGTTGTCTAGCCGTTGTTAACTGACTTTATCTCACTTTATTACAGATCAGACTTTATATCTTCATTTGACGACTTAGCATTCGACATGTACCAAAATCTTGTACCAAGATCCTGAGAGGTTGTCTAGGCGTTGTTAACTGACTTTATCTCACTTTATTTCAGACCAGACTATATATCTCCTTTAGACGACTTAGCATTTGACATGTACCAAGATCCTGAGATAGCTGGAATCATCAGAAAACTGGAGAAGAAAAAACAAGAAGCTGTTCTACGTAAGCTTTCATAATTCTGTATATCACATTCTATGACAAGTAGGGTAAAGCGATTCTGAGGCCTGTCAAAAAAACCCAAAAAAAACCAACAAATTTATGTCTTTTTTGCTTGGGGATGAGCTGTAAAATCACTATATAAAGAATTTAAAAAAAAATGCCAATTGCCTTCAAATTAAGCAAACTGCCATAGTAGAAAATCTATAATTCTTTTCAGAAAAAAATCTTACAACTAAATTGTTTGTGAGTTAAACTGAATGTTAAGACTTGCAAGCTTTTTTGTTTTCTCGTAGGATATTTTGTGAAATTGATCGCAGAGCATTTTGATTTCAAAGGATCTTAAGTTTGGGTTTATTTCATTAATAAAATGGATATGGGAGAGTTAGAAGGGACTATAAAGAACCCCCAAAACCAAACATACTTAAAGGAGGCAGGAAGGGACTATAAAAATTCCCTCGAACCCAACATACTTAAAGGGCACGTTTGTTTAAAAATATTTGTTGGTTATTTTGCACTACATTTGGAATTTAGCAGGAGTTGCTTTAAACTTTTTTGATCTTCATAAATTGATTTTACTGCAAAATATGAGGCAAATTTGGGAAATATACTCTTAGGAACAATTTTTAAAGTTTTCTCTAAAATAAGCATTGTAATTCATCCTTTTTATGTATTTTTTTCAAAATTCACAACCCAACCTGACTCAAATAAAAATGCTAGAAAATGGCACTGCAATAAACTTGTAAATTTGCTCAGAAAAAGTCTGTAAATTTAACTTATTTTAATTTGGCATGTAAAACATAAAATTCACTTCAGTTTTGAAATGAGACAAAACTCCTGACATGTAGTTTACTTTTTTGGTACATTTATCATAGCTTTTGAATAAAACCAATTTGGCTAATTTGTCACTAAAAAATTCACCAAAGTTACAAAAATTCCCAATTTTGAACCTCATTTTTGTCGATCCTTCGACTTTTGTCGAAAAAGCGAGACATAGTGATGTTGGCGTTGTCGATGGCGGCATCCACAAATATGTGGTTAAAGTTTTTGAAATTTTAATAACTTTCTTAAACTATCCTGTATTTCTACCAAACTTGGACAGAAGCTTGTTTATGATCATTAGACAATATTCAAAAGTAAATTTTGTAAAAAAAAAATTCCATTTTTTCTGTATTTTACTTATAAATGGACTTAGTTTTTCTGCCAGGAAACATTACATTCACTCTGTGGTTAAAGTTTTTGAAATTTTAATAACTTTCTTAGACTATCCTGGATTTCTACCAAACTTGGAAAGAAGCTTGTTTATGATCATAAGATAGTATCCAGAAGTAAATTTTGTAAAAAAAAAATCCATTTTTTCCGTATTTTACTTATAAATGGACTTAGTTTTTCTGCCAGTTAATATTACATTCACTCTGTGGTTAAAGTTTTTCAAATTTTAATAACTTTCTTAAACTAACCTGGATTTGTACCAAACTTGGACAGAAGCTTGTTTATGATTAAAAGCTAGTATCTAGAAGGAAATTTTGTTAAAATTTTGTTCCATTTTTTCCGTATTTTACTTATAAATGGACTTAGTTTTTCTTCCAGTTTACATTACATACAGTCTGCAGTTTAAGTTTTTAAAACATTTATTAGATTCATAAACTATCCTGGATTTTTACCAAACTTGGACAGAAGCTACTTACAATCAAAAGATAGTATAGAGAGGAATATTTTTATTAATTTTTTTCCTCATTTTTGTTGAGCCTGCAATTAACAGCAAAAGTAGGCGAGACACTGGGTTCCTCGGAACCCTTACAAATTTTTCTTGAAAACTTTCATAACTTATCTCAAAATAACAAAAATTTACAATACAATGTGAAACTGTATTGATTCCCTTTAAGAAATCAAATATTAACAATGTGAATCATGTTTTAATTCTATTGTGAGCATAACAACATATATGAATTCTAAAAAACATATGAAAATTTCATTATAGAAGAAAGATTTGATTATGCAAAGAGATTAAAGTCGGCAATAACAGAATTACAGAAGGTTGGAGAGAAGTTGGGAAAGTATGAAGTAGAGAAACGTCAGGCTGTGGAGAATGAAGATTACGACAAAGCAAAGCTGAAGAAAGTACAAATGGATGAATATAGATTACAAGTGTATAGGGACTTAAACTTGGCTGATTTACTGGAAACTACTGGGGTAGGAAAGACATATCTCTGTGTCAACAGTTTATTAGATTATAACAACTGAAATTATTAAACTATTTTATTTGAAGATCACATAGTTAATGCTCCGTACACCAATGCTTATTCTTCTGCAGCTAGTAATACATCATATGGAACTGCAGCACATTTAAAACTTGCAGAGACAGAAAATTAGTCTAAAATTGTATGAATTTAACTCTGTAATTTTACTTAATCTAACAGATATCCTAAAATAACAAATTATTTAAAATCTTAATTTCTATGAATTTTTACAGTCTCGCCATCCCCAAGTTATAGATTTAGAGCCAATACGACAAGCCACACCTCCCAGATTACTGGAGTTGACCCCAAGGTCACCTATTCAAAGGTCACCTCCAAGAACACCTCCTCCTAGGACACCATATGATGAACGACCTCTGCCTGCTTTGAAAAGGTATTATACACTAGAATAGCAAACATTTTTTTTATATCTTTTTACAAGTTTTATTAGTTTTATATGCAGAAAAAAGAGATACTAACATTTTTTAGAATAGACCAGAATTCCTTCACCCTTTGTGAATACTGCATATTATAGTCAGTGATTTTTTAATGATTAAACAGAAAAAAAGAGGAAAAGGACTGTTCCATAAGATCATACATGTGACCTCGGAAGGCAACTTTGAATTTAACACTATGCTATGGTGTGAAACACTGCAATTGAAATGTTTGCAGGTCTCTGAAATTTCTTCTTTGAGTGGTTACTCTATTATCAAAGATCTTTCTCTTGGTACCATTTATGGTTAATTGGAACAGCCTTAAGAGAAATTAGCAAAACTATTAGGTAGTACAACATACCAACCAACCACTACCAATAAAAGCAAGATTTATACAATATGGTACTACAAAAATGCACTACTTCAGTATAGATCTAAAATAAAATCAATTGTAACATATAAACTGGTCACTTTCATTATAAAACTTGTTAAAGAATGGGCTTAATTCACAGTCTCAGTCCTCTCTTGGACAAGCACTTATTAAAATAAAATAATTCCTTGTCATGCAATTCCCTAAATTTATGAACGTGTCCTAACCAAAGGAACATGAAATTCTAATTGATAATTTTCTTTAATTTGTTTGTTGCATATAATCGGGGAAAAGCTGTAATAAATTTCTTAACATTTTTCCGTGAAAAAAACTTTCCATCATTTCAAGTAATATCACCAGTCTACTCAGATTACTTTTTATTTTGATACCTGGGTTTATACATATTTTTTTACAATCAAAAATGCTTTTAAAAACTGCACATGAAGTAAGAAAGACCATGAAAATACACAATGCACTATTTATACTCACACCTATAAATATAAATATACTATGATAATGATTTATATTTTATATATGACCACACAAAATATTATCTTATGTAGTGACCAGAATTGTATTACAGTGCTTTAATGATATCAAAAGAATTTCTGGTGGATGTGAAAAACAATTAAAGCAAAATTTTAACTGAATATTTTTCCATCTTTAATAGTTACAGAGAAAAAAATCTTAGACATTTATCTTATTATTACATGATATCCTTATAGTTACTGTTATCAGACAAGAGTACTGCCTATCTATCACCAGGGTTTTATAGTCAGACAAACATATTACCAGGGTTTGACACTTCTCGCTTGCTAGTTTAAGAGATACGGAGAGCTTGAATTTCTTGGTCTGTTATTATTTTTTCCATTTTCTGTAAAAAAAAATTTATATTGATTAACTTACAATAATTTTCAATAGGAATTAATCAGCAAAAAAGTAAAAACGATACAAATGACTTATTTTTTTTGGGCATTTTTTTTTACAAATAATATCTTGAAACTGGATGTTAATGAAACTTTAAATGTAATTTTCAGAAATTATTTTTCACTTTTAAAAAATAATTAATGTATATGAATTTCTAAAAATTGATAGTTACTGTACATAAGGATTTAGTGTAAGTGTCAGACCTTGCCTTAGAAGTCCTTCACAGATATTAATTATAGTTACAATACAAAAGCACTTTGAATGTAAAATCCAGTCCCTGCCTAGTACTTACGACTCTTTTGCTTTCTAACTGTCACAGTAGATAGATTTTATTCTGTAGTAAGGAAACACCTAGAGAATTACCATCTACACCACCACAAAGGACATCTTATGATGAGCGCCCTCTACCTGTCAAGTAAGTAAACTATATGAGCTTATTCTGATAACTCTATGTGTGCCAGGAAAGATGTGATGTTTTTGCTTATCCTATAAATAAATATATAAAAAAGATACAAGTAGTTAGTTTGTAAGTAATTCAATGGAAATATCTCAGTTATACCTTGTTTTGGGGTGTTCTTGTCTTAATAGGACTTATTAAGCAGATCTGAACAGAACGAGATCATGAAATAAACATTATGCACAATTTTTAAAGAAGCAGATTTAGTACTTTGACCTTTCTTGAATGAGTAAAATTTATAATATGTCTTTTGGAAGTTTGTTAAATCTTTTCCTGATTCTGTGAATTTATGTTAGAGCTTAACAGATGTTATAGACAGTTATTGTGTTAACATAAAAATAAATTTTTGTGTTGTTCTTATTTTGCTGTCAGACTGATGTATATATCACATTTTTTATTCATAGGCATGACATAGAGTTCTTGCAATCAACTATCAGTCAACAAATCAAATTTTCAATCTTAGTGTGAAAGTATAAAAAAATATTACCTCTTTCTTAGAATGTATTATGATTTTCTCCTTTTTTTTTACAGACCACCTGCTGTTCCTGATGAAGAGCCAGAACCAGCAGAAACTGCAGGTCAGTATTTAGGACAAACAAAATATTGTTACTTTGAGTTTTCCCCCTATAGATATGACTGTCCTCAGCTTGTCGAATCCAAGATTTAAAGAATCTAACAACAGCTGTCCATAGCAATTCAGTTGGTTGCTATTGATGTATATATTCCTTTAGCTCGATGACAAGACGTCTTTTACCCCCTTTCTTCTCTATTTTTATATAGAATTTAAATGTTTAGTGTCGCAGAAAAAGAATCATAATTGACTAGGATAATTAGAATACAAGACTTTAAAATCCCAGAGATGGTCTTGCAAGACCTTTATTGATATCTGAATCAGTGAGGTCAAAGACTTGAAATTTTATTGTTGAATTTTCTGCTTGGTATAATTTTTGATATGTCTTGTAGCACAGAAGGGGGAATCAGTCCCTTTGCCTCCAAGGAGCTTTCATACATGTAGAATTTTCTTTATCATTTCAGTAGGTATAACTGTTGAACCAGAACTATTGACTTGGAAGTATCTGTTCCTGTAACCTCCAAGAAACTTTCATTCATGTAGAATTTTCTGTATATTTTAAGGGGGAATAACTGGTGAACCTGAACCATTGACAGAGAAGGATTTGAGGGAAGCATCAGCAGCCATTGATGTGTTTGGTGAACAGCTGGTATGTATGTGATTATCTCCCTTACCTCAAAACTTGGGTGAATTGTAAATAGTAGCCTCTATTCATTGTGTGATTATCTCCCTTATTTTCCATGTTTTATCTACAGTCAATGCATTAATTTTTGTGGCATATTTATTTTCATGGACTTCATAGGAACATGTGTCATAAACTTTAACTATTCAATACAAATTTTTCTAAAGGCTTTTATGTAGAATTTGTAAAAACTATGAAATTTTATAAAAGTATCCACGAAAGTACCTATTTTTCAATCAACTAAATTTGGTACCCACAAAAATACATAAATCCAAAGTAATTTTCTGATGATGAGCACATAGGAACAAACAGTGATACGGTTTATTCAACAAGTCTTACCTGTCACTCAGCTCAATGTATAGAGATATATCTACCAATATTTTGTTGGCACCAGTGAAACAGTACTTTGTGAATTAATTAAGGAAAATAGCAAGTTTTATATTAATGTAAAATACATGTCATGAACCCACATAAAAATGAACAGCTTGAAGGTAGCTATTTACAATATATTAATGCAATGACTACTTTTCGGAAAATCTCTAAGAAAAAACTAGAGAAGACTCTGTATGTAAGGGGAAGTAAATGTTAATATTTACAAATAATTAAGTGTAAAATTGCCTATTGAAATATTTTTCAGCATTAAAACATTAGAAGTGGATTAAGGAAAATTTTATTTTTAAAATTATATAATTTTTATTTACAGGTGTCCAAAGCTTACAGTAAAACTTGGTCATATAGAGAAGATGCCTTGCTAGCTGTTTATAAACAGATGCAGGATCTCCCGGCCACGGCACCAAAAGATGAAGCTAAGTCCATGTTGAGAGCATCTATATTCCTTGTCAAAAAAGCAATAGATGATAAAGTTTATGCAGTATGTTATTGATTTATATTACAATTTATATAACTTCATATAGTCCTTTTTCATATGAACAATAGATGTAGATTACACATCAATGAGGCACCAACTGGATGTTTTTCTTTTTAAGGACAACAGAAACTTATTATTGCACAATGTAAGGAAATGAACTTTATATATGGATAAATCTCTATAAATACAATGAATTAATAATATTGATATGTATTTACATGAATAATTTCTGTTGTGAATTTACATGTCATACTACCTTGCATTATTTGAACAGAATGTGTGTTTTTCCATCACAAGTGTTTATTCAATCACTTTCATTTTATTCACAATGTATAAGTGGTTAGAAGGGGGAACCAGTCCCTTTGCCTCCAAGGAGCTTTCATACATGTAGAATTTTCTTTATCATTTATCTTGACAAGAGGAAATGTTTCCATAATAATTAAATTGATATTATATTTTTTCTTGTTTGATTTCTTTGTTTGTAGGATAATTAAAGCTGACATTTTCTGTTATTTCAGGTGTTCAAGGCAGGTCTACACTTGTTGAAGATGATACTAACAGAATATGTACCTAAACACAAGTAAGTTGGTTGTTAAAATTGAAACTGTATACTTACATGCAACCAAACACAAGTAAGTTGGTTGTTAAAATTGAAACTGTATACTTGTATGCAGCCAAACACAAGTAAGTTGGTTGTTAAAATTGAAACTGTATACTTGTATGCAGCCAAACACAAGTAAGTTGGTTGTTAAAATTGAAACTGTATACTTGCATGCAGCCAAACACAAGTAAGTTGGTTGTTAAAATTGAAACTTTATACTTGTATGCAGCCAAACACAAGTAAGTTGGTTGTTAAAATTGAAACTGTATACTTGTATGCAGCCAAACACAAGTAAGTTGGTTGTTAAAATTGAAACTGTATACTTGTATGCAGCCAAACACAAGTAAGTTGGTTGTTAAAATTGAAACTGTATACTTGCATGCAGCCAAACACAAGTAAGTTGGTTGTTAAAATTGAAACTTTATACTTGTATGCAGCCAAACACAAGTAAGTTGGTTGTTAAAATTGAAACTGTATACTTACATGCAACCAAACACAAGTAAGTTGGTTGTTAAAATTGAAACTTTATACTTACATGCAACCAAACACAAGTAAGTTGGTTGTTAAAATTGAAACTGTATACTTGTATGCAGCCAAACACAAGTAAGTTGGTTGTTAAAATTGAAACGGTATACTTGTATGCAGCCAAACACAAGTAAGGTGGTTGTTAAAATTGAAACTGTATACTTGTATGCAGCCAAACACAAGTAAGTTGGTTGTTAAAATTGAAACTTTATACTTGTATGCAGCCAAACACAAGTAAGTTGGTTGTTAAAATTGAAACTTTATACTTACATGCAACCAAACACAAGTAAGTTGGTTGTTAAAATTGAAACTTTATACTTACATGCAACCAAACACAAGTAAGTTGGTTGTTAAAATTGAAACTTTATACTTACATGCAACCAAACACAAGTAAGTTGGTTGTTAAAATTGAAACTTTATACTTGTATGCAGCCAAACACAAGTAAGTTGGTTGTTAAAATTGAAACTTTATACTTGCATGCAACCAAACACAAGTAAGTTGGTTGTTAAAATTGAAACTTTATACTTACATGCAACCAAACACAAGTAAGTTGGTTGTTAAAATTGAAACTTTATACTTGTATGCAGCCAAACACAAGTAAGTTGGTTGTTAAAATTGAAACTTTATACTTGCATGCAGCCAAACACAAGTAAGTTGGTTGTTAAAATTGAAACTTTATACTTGCATGCAGCCAAACACAAGTAAGTTGGTTGTTAAAATTGAAACTTTATACTTACATGCAACCAAACACAAGTAAGTTGGTTGTTAAAATTGAAACTTTATACTTGTATGCAGCCAAACACAAGTAAGTTGGTTGTTAAAATTGAAACTTTATACTTGCATGCAGCCAAACACAAGTAAGTTGGTTGTTAAAATTGAAACTTTATACTTGCATGCAGCCAAACACAAGTAAGTTGGTTGTTAAAATTGAAACTTTATACTTACATGCAACCAAACACAAGTAAGTTGGTTGTTAAAATTGAAACTGTATACTTACATGCAACCAAACACAAGTAAGTTGGTTGTTAAAATTGAAACTGTATACTTACATGCAGCCAAACACAAGTAAGTTGGTTGTTAAAATTGAAAATGTATACTTGCATGCAGCCAAACACAAGTAAGTTGGTTGTTAAAATTGAAACTGTATACTTGTATGCAGCCAAACACAAGTAAGTTGGTTGTTAGAATTAAGTTGGTTGTTAAAATTGAAACTTTATACTTACATGCAACCAAACACAAGTAAGTTGGTTGTTAAAATTGAAACTGTATACTTGTATGCAGCCAAACACAAGTAAGTTGGTTGTTAGAATTGAAACTTTATACTTACATGCAACCAAACACAAGTAAGTTGGTTGTTAAAATTGAAACTTTATACTTACATGCAACCAAACACAAGTAAGTTGGTTGTTAAAATTGAAACTGTATACTTGTATGCAGCCAAACACAAGTAAGTTGGTTGTTAGAATTGAAACTTTATACTTACATGCAACCAAACACAAGTAAGTTGGTTGTTAAAATTGAAACTGTATACTTGCATGCAGCCAAACACAAGTAAGTTGGTTGTTAAAATTGAAACTGTATACTTGCATGCAGCCAAACACAAGTAAGTTGGTTGTTAAAATTGAAACTGTATACTTGTATGCAGCCAAACACAAGTAAGTTGGTTGTTAGAATTGAAACTTTATACTTACATGCAACCAAACACAAGTAAGTTGGTTGTTAAAATTGAAACTTTATACTTACATGCAACCAAACACAAGTAAGTTGGTTGTTAAAATAGAAACTGTATACTTGTATGCAGCCAAACACAAGTAAGTTGGTTGTTAGAATTGAAACTTTATACTTACATGCAACCAAACACAAGTAAGTTGGTTGTTAAAATTGAAACTGTATACTTACATGCAACCAAACACAAGTAAGTTGGTTGTTAAAATTGAAACTGTATACTTGTATGCAGCCAAACACAAGTAAGTTGGTTGTTAGAATTGAAACTTTATACTTACATGCAACCAAACACAAGTAAGTTGGTTGTTAAAATTGAAACTGTATACTTACATGCAACCAAACACAAGTAAGTTGGTTGTTAAAATTGAAACTTTATACTTACATGCAACCAAACACAAGTAAGTTGGTTGTTAAAATTGAAACTGTATACTTGTATGCAGCCAAACACAAGTAAGTTGGTTGTTAAAATTGAAACTTTATACTTACATGCAACCAAACACAAGTAAGTTGGTTGTTAAAATTGAAACTGTATACTTGTATGCAGCCAAACACAAGTAAGTTTGTTGTTAAAATTGAAACTGTATACTTGTATGCAGCCAAACACAAGTAAGTTGGTTGTTAGAATTGAAACTTTATACTTACATGCAACCAAACACAAGTAAGTTGGTTGTTAAAATTGAAACTTTATACTTACATGCAACCAAACACAAGTAAGTTGGTTGTTAAAATTGAAACTGTATACTTGTATGCAGCCAAACACAAGTAAGTTGGTTGTTAGAATTGAAACTTTATACTTACATGCAACCAAACACAAGTAAGTTGGTTGTTAAAATTGAAACTGTATACTTGTATGCAGCCAAACACAAGTAAGTTGGTTGTTAAAATTGAAACTGTATACTTGTATGCAGCCAAACACAAGTAAGTTGGTTGTTAGAATTGAAACTTTATACTTACATGCAACCAAACACAAGTAAGTTGGTTGTTAAAATTGAAACTTTATACTTACATGCAACCAAACACAAGTAAGTTGGTTGTTAAAATTGAAACTGTATACTTGTATGCAGCCAAACACAAGTAAGTTGGTTGTTAGAATTGAAACTTTATACTTACATGCAACCAAACACAAGTAAGTTGGTTGTTAAAATTGAAACTGTATACTTGTATGCAGCCAAACACAAGTAAGTTGGTTGTTAGAATTGAAACTTTATACTTACATGCAACCAAACACAAGTAAGTTGGTTGTTAAAATTGAAACTTTATACTTACATGCAACCAAACACAAGTAAGTTGGTTGTTAAAATTGAAACTGTATACTTGTATGCAGCCAAACACAAGTAAGTTGGTTGTTAGAATTGAAACTTTATACTTACATGCAACCAAACACAAGTAAGTTGGTTGTTAAAATTGAAACTGTATACTTACATGCAACCAAACACAAGTAAGTTGGTTGTTAAAATTGAAACTTTATACTTACATGCAACCAAACACAAGTAAGTTGGTTGTTAAAATTGAAACTGTATACTTGTATGCAGCCAAACACAAGTAAGTTGGTTGTTAAAATTGAAACTTTATACTTACATGCAACCAAACACAAGTAAGTTGGTTGTTAAAATTGAAACTGTATACTTGTATGCAGCTAAACACAAGTAAGTTGGTTGTTAAAATTGAAACTGTATACTTGTATGCAGCTAAACACAAGTAAGTCGGTTGTTAAAATTGAAACTGTATACTTGTATGCAGCCAAACACAAGTAAGTTGGTTGTTAAAATTGAAACTGTATACTTGTATGCAGCCAAACACAAGTAAGTTGGTTGTTAAAATTGAAACTTTATACTTGTATGCAGCCAAACACAAGTCAGTGATTAACCTTTTTATGTAATAAAACACTTTCATGCATCTGTTTGATATCTGTCCTTCCAGATACCTTTAAGTCTAATGTATGTCTCGTCAAACTTAGTCTGTCTCTCTTAGTTAGTTTTAGTCATTCCAGCTGCTGTAGTTAGGTTTCATTTAATTTTTGGATTTCCATGAATGTAGAAAGGTTCCAGTCTGTCTGTGATATAACATATAAACAATATTTCAAGGCTGGCTTTTAAGGTTATTAAACCAGTCGGGCTTTTTCACTCCTTTTTAAGCTCACCTGGCCAACAGGGCCAAGTGAGCTTTTCTCATCACTTGTCGTTCTGTCGTCCGTCGTCATCGTCATCTGTTAACTTTTACAAAAATCTTCTCCTCTGAAACTACTGGGCCTAAATTGGCCTCAATCATCATTAGGGTATCTAGTTTAAAAATGTGTCCAATGACCCCGCCTGCCAACCAAGATTGCCAACATGGCTGAGATAGAACATAGGGTAAAATGCATGTTTTGTCTATTATTTCGAAAACGGTTATAAATAGAGAAAATCTTGACAAGGGCAGAAATGTTGAGAATGTTGAGCTCTACCAATAGTCTATGTACGTCAAAACTGTCAGACAAATTCTAATAGGAGTTATTGCCCTAGCTCTTTAAATTTTTTTCATTTTTGCCTATTATCTTGAAAACTATAATTGATAGAGAGAAACATTAAATTGAAAAAATGATCAGCAAGACAAGTTCTACAAATATGTATATCATGATCAAAATCGTCGATTTTTTCCTTTTTTTTTGTGTTTTTACCTTATAACTTTAAAATTATGATAAATAGATAGAAACCTAAATAAGCAAAAATAATCAGCAAGATAAGATCTATAATTAAGACAATATGGAGGAAATCTTCTGACGACTCCTTATTGGAGTTATTGCCCTTTAATGACCATTTTTACCATTTTTTTTGTGTTTAGCCTTAAATGATAAAAATTATAATAGACAAATAGACACTTTAAATAACAAAAATGATCAGCAAGGCAAGATCTACTAACAAGTCAAATTTTGCCAATATAGTTAGTAGGCTGTCGCTCTTTATAAGAGTGATTGCCCTTAAATGGGATTTTTTTTTATCCTGTTTTGTGTTTTGAGCAAAAACTAAAGAAGAAAGTGAGAAATTTAACAGACGTAATGATCAGCAATACAAGATCAACAAAACAGATTTTTATCATGAATTCTATTCTCGTCTACAATGTTAAAGAGTGTCCTTTGTTGAATATGCAAATAAACCAAGGTGTGTGACACAGGCTCTTTAGAGCCTTTAGTTTAATCTCTTTTGAAATTGATAATATGAAAGGCATTCAAGCCAATCAAGATAACCAATGAGAACACTTTTTTTTCGTTGTCAAAATTATTTACTTGTAAACAAGTTAAACATGGGAAAAAACTTTAAAAGACATAGGTTAATGTCTGGTTCTAGTCTTGCAATAGGGAAGGTATTCTAACCAAAACAATCATCTAAACCGGAAAAAAAATGTTAATTGTATGAACTATTTCAGTGGAATTCTTGTAAGACATTGAAAAAAGACAAATCTAGAGAATACTAGCATTAAAAGTCTGTTTCAAGGTTACTAATATAACCTTGAACATCAACTGAAGGTTCGGTCATGAATTTTATGGTTTTTTTTACAGAATACCGAAACAAGATACTGTTTGGGCTGTGGAGAGATCTATGCAAAACTTACTACATAAATCTGGTGATACAGTAAGTAATTATCTCTCCATAGTTATAGGCTAAACAGTAGTTATCTCCCCTCACTCATAATTGGAATCAGAATGTATAATGGAGTTAACTTATTTTACTGTACTTTTTGTATCTTCTATGTATCTTTTGTTATTCTATTGATCAATTTTAATAGGGGAATGGTTGAGTGCTCCAAAATCCCATCCTACGTTTTTTTTGTTGCCAGTCTCGAGTCAGGAGCCTGGTCAGTGGTTGTGTTACATCAAATGTTAAGGAATTTTGTATTATTGGTGTAGGAAGATCTTTGATAGTCTTTTAAATTATGCACAACTTTTTCTGGAACTGGGGCCATTTGATACTTAAAATTTTAAACACCTATCTATTGAAGACTGTTTGTTGACTTTCAGATATCTTTTGATGTAAAATTTTCTGTCTGGCAAAAGAAAAATTACAAGAAACAACAGGATGATTGTTGATTAATGCTTTAAGTCATTAATAAAAAAAGGAGATCAATTAACTCAAAAATCGGTATAGAAAATACAACAAAATAATAAACTTATCAGGTCATGCTACATCTTTGACATTGAAGTGGCAATTCTCAAGGAAAATATTGTGTCTAACTCTTGTCAAATTTAAATCAATTGAAACTTCTAATATAAAAAAAGGAAAAACTGCTAAACACACTGGAAATTTTTAAGTGAATTAACATAGATTAAAGTCCATTCTAGCATTCAGCAAAAGTTTCAAGAGAATTGAAATTTAGGAACTAGCTCTGGAATCCTATTTTGACTATGTTGCCTCTTTTTTTAATATGAATTCTGTTGGATAACATTCATGATCTTTCCGTATTTCAGGCTGTGAGAAATAGAGATGATGCCAAGAATTTTGTTTTAGAAATGGCAAGATATCCTGAAGTGAAGGTTAGTTTTAAGAAATTGTTTGTTATATAATTAGATAGGATCATATAACATTGCTTAGGAGTTTTAGTAATCAGCAGACACATGGGTTCATGAAATGGCATGTCATGTCAGATAATCATGTGTCCATGACACATGTAATGACTGTAGCATGTATTAAATATACAATTGAGTATTGAGTCTGTTTAAATTTGATAATATATATTTTATACCTCACATGCACGCCTATTATATATACATATAATAAAAACCATATCACAGGACATGGCTTATCACATCACTTTCCTAAGCTGTAGAATATTATCATTATTTGGCGACAGAAGTGATTTCATAGAAAAATATGGTACTGCTTATTGCATGAGAGATGTGACTGCTAAATGGAGTTAGAATTTACAATAGATGAAGATGACCACGGATTTTAGGTGACTATTTTGGCTGGTTTGACTTATTTACATTTGTCCACTATATAAAACATGTCTTATAACCTCCATATTGTGGCCATATGAGTACTTGATTTAGGGTCAGTGGAGTTAAAAAAACTATTCCTTGTGTTTGTGTTGACTCTTCTTGACTCCTGGGCAAACAGCTTCTATGAAATAATAAATAATTAAAGGAGAACACAGTAATCAAAAGAAGGCAGATGAAAAGACAAATAACAGTCCACAAAGCAATACACAAAGAACTTATATTGAGTAGCCCTACTGAAAAAGGTAAGGTTGAATTCAGCTGCTCTGGAAGGTTCAGTAGTTTCTACAGTTCTATGGAGAAAAGAAAAAAAATGATAAAAAAGTGGATTGAGATATTCACTGCCAGGTATTTTAGTATTTGTTTTTGGCTTTTAAATACATGAAGTAATGCTACAACACAGTAGACCTATTTTTTGTTGTTAACAATTTTTGTCCAAATTAAAAAAAAAAATTATAAGTTTGCTATATTAAATTTTTGTAGCCAACAAACTGTGTTCCCCATGAGGCTGTGAAACCTATGAAGAATACTGTTGCACCAAGACTTGGACAAAGTCGATGTGAAATTGTAGAAATGTTATACAAAGACTTAGGGATCAAAACAAATAGGTATGTAAACACACTTGGACAGAGTTGATGTGAATTGTAGTCAGTTATACTACATACCATGGGTATTTGACTTTTGGATTAAACTTTTTTTTTATCCCCCCCTCCCCTCAAAGAACGGGCGCATACAGTGATGCACATGTCCTTTTGTCCATCCTTCACAGTTGGTTTCCAGATGACAATTGAAGAGCAGCTTGACCAAATCTTTTGTCATCGACCATCACATACAGTTCAAGTATGATTTTGTCATCAACCATAAAATACAGTTCAAGTATGATTTTGTCATCGACCATCACATACAATTCAAGTATGATTTTGTCATCGACCATAACATACAGTTCAAGTATGATTTTGTCATCGACCATCACATACAGTTCAAGTATGATTTTGTCATCGACCATAACATACAGTTCAAGTATGATTTTGTCATCGACCGTCACATACAGTTCAAGTATGATTTTGATGGTTTTGACTTTTATCATTTAAGAAAATTTGCATAAAAGCTATTTTTCACCTAGTCAGTTCAAATATGTAATAAAAAATATACCTTCATGAGCTACTTTACGAGATAAATGGGGTCGAAATTTTAGACATTTACGTAAAATTTCGTTATTTTGGACATTTCTATCCTTTGGATAGACACACCTTTTTTGTTTCAAAAGATAAACACAATTTGGAAAATCTTCTCTAAAGTATGCTCTAAATTTGTATAAAAATTCTTTAGAAATAATTGATTTTTATCAAAGTTTCAGGAATTTAGAATAAAAATGGCATTTTTGGCTGTATATTTATCTAATTTAAAAAAATTGCATCAGTGACTTTTTCATAAAAATTGGTACAAATAATCTTCATACGTAATCAAACCTAATGTCGTTTTAAAAAAGAGGGGTCCATGAACTCATTTTCAAGTTAAAGCAGTCTGAATGATAAAAATCAGTCTAAAAATGTATCTTTTCCCGATATGTCACAGTTTGACGTTGCAAAAAATAACATTTTACTTTAGCAACGTCATTACCTCCCTTGTAACTGTATCGTATGCCCTTAACACAATGTCATCATTCATAAAATACAGGTAAATATCGATTTGATGATTTTAACTTTTAACATTCAAGAGTTATGTCCCTCAATATCTCTAAAACTATGGATTTTGTTGGTTTCAAGATACCAGTTGACAAAATATTTTTCCATAACACCATAGACCATAAACTACAAGGGTAGTTTGATGTTGTCAACTTTGACCTTTCCAGATCAAGAGTTATGCCCCTAAAACTTCTTTAAATTTTGATATTTTGTTTTTGTTTCTTGATGACATCAACATTTCACTTGACAAAATCTTTTTGGATTGAAACACATAAAATACTACTAAGATATTGACAGAGTGGACATTTTCTGTCAAGACTATGCTGCTGGTGGGGGTATCTGTGATCCCTAGATTGTCTAATTGTAGTCTATTTAGAGAAAAGAATTATTATTAGATCTGAAATGTTACAAAATTGTGAATAACTACATGTTATTGTGTATGACAGGCAAAGTACTATGTTTAAATCATGCCAGTACCATTTGAAAATTCCCTCATAAAATATTTCATATTTGAGAATTAAGGAAAGGGCACATTTTGTTTATCTTGTTGCAGAAGTGAATGGAGACCTACTTCACTTATAGCAGACAGGAGTGGCCTCAAAGTATTCTGTGAAATATTAGAAAAATTATACAAAATGCTGAGTGTATGAAAAATAATCCAAGCAGCACAGTCCAAGAGAGAGAAAATAAGAAAACAAATTAAAAGTAAATAAAAATGGAAAAGTGTTTTTTTTACTCTTGTTTTGAAGAAAATGTTTTTTTTCTTCATATTCTTAAATTTTTTGCAGTGGTTTAAACATTGACAACATGATGCAGTTCTGTGTGGCAGCGTTAGGTCATCATGCAGGAGAAGTTAGGGATGTGTCAGAACGAATCATTAAAGCCCTGTATAAAGAGGAACGACAGGCTGTGAAGGATTATCTACCTGCAGACGATGATAAAACAAGGAAGATAACTCTGTATAGACAGCTGTTTGAGTACTTTGATAAGGTTGATGGGAAACCCAGCAAAGCTGACGTCAGGGTTTGTTATATTCTTTCTGATTAAAGGAGATATAAAGTATATGTCAGTGAGACAACAACCTCGCAACACTATCCAAACCCAGAAAAGCTGATGTCAGGGTTTATTACCATAGTTTCATTTTGTATGAATACACCTTATTGCTATTTAGTCTAGAAAAAACAGTCACTTAAAAACTTCCTGTTTTGGTCAAGTGTTGCAAAAACAAAGATCATCAGTAACAAGCTAAGGGAGGAAAAAGTTTAGAAAGCAAACATTTTGAAACCATGATTCCCTTTTTTTAATCACAAATTAAAGTAATAAAAATGCATTGTTTGAAGTGTTTACGATGGTTTAAACATTTCTCCTAGAAAAGTTTTATGCATAATACATTGTTTAAACAGGGCCCAGATAGCTTCAACTGGATGAAAAGGTTGTGTAATTTTAGAACTTATCCGGATTTGAATAAATAGCCATGAGGTGTATTAAAGGAAATGTAAGTGACTCAGTGAAACATTTTATATGCAGCAAATAAATATAAGATGTGGTATGAGTGCCAATAAGACAACTCTCTATCCAAGTCACAATGTGTAAAATGTAAACCATTATAGGTCAAAGTACGGCATCAGAGTTTGTAACATTCTCATCTTTAAAAGAATAAAAGGAGACATTGGGTAGACGTAAATTAGACAGCAATCCAACAGCATTATCTCTATAGGTATATGTTATCTTCCAGTGAAAAACCAGTGAACATTTGATAAATAAATGCCATCTTTCAGAAACAATACAAAAATAATGAGATGTAGTGTGGTTGTCAATGAGACGACTATTGATCAGTAACCAAAGGTCAGGGACATTTATAGGTCACTGCCTATAGGCCTTCAACAAAGAGCAAAACATACAATTTAATGAGATGTTACAGGCATCAGCATGGCAGAATGTTAAACAATTCATTGGAGAAAAAGATATTTAACCTATGACCTCCTGCACTCGAGGCATGCATGCTACATGTAGCACAAAGGAGGTTGAAAAATGATTAAAATACAAGTCATTTAAACACTACACAGAAAACAAACCTCCATTAAAAACAAGGGTGGACTTTGGTGTTCCTGAAGAGTATGAGTAACCTGCCGTGTTCATATGGTTAGTAAAAATTGATTGATAAGTCATCATAGATGATGTCTTAATCGAGGACATGATGGGGGCAATAACAAGAGGGTCATATCTGTGGTCATGACCTCAAACATTTGAATATGTCATTACAAGTTCAACATGTTTACATACTTAAATGATGTATTTTATTGTATAGAAACAAAGATCAGACGAAGAAACAAAGAAACAAGCTGAGATAGAGGCTCTACAGAAACAGTTACAGTCGCTGAAAGACATGGCATCTGGAAAACAGGTAACATTATTTTTAAACTTAAGAAGCAATTAATTTGATAATTTAATGATGTGAAGGAGAAGGAGATTTTTATGGTGTTACTGATTCATGTTTCTGAATTATTGATTTAAGGAAAGTAATTGATTGAAAAAAAGTTTGAATCATGAAATGTAAATCATTTTTAATTATTATTTAATGCGGCTTCCAGGATGCTAAAACTAACCAATCAAAGCCAAGCAATAAACCAGTTGCTAAGAAGGTTAGAGTTAGACAGCTACCAGTAGACAGCTTTCTGTAGTGTGGTTTTTGTCTTAACACAATAGGAAGCTTGCTTTGTGATGATAATATACTGTGAAAGTATTGTTTGTGGGGTCGAAATTTTCTTTTTCTTTTTCTCCCACCAACCATGAAATTAAATATCCAAGAAAGTAATTATTATCTATTCAATCTGATTGTATAAATTATAAAATCCTACGAACCAACATTATTTTTTACAAAAAAGTGATATCCATGAAGAAAGTACTTCCACTGTAGATTGGTATTTAATGATTAAAAGTTAGAATCCTCACACCAGTAATGTAATAATAATGTAATATAATATAAAGTTTACCAAATTTATTTCGATATGAATTAAAGAAAATGTGGGAAATTTTCAATGACACAGCAGTCCAAAGACAGAAAACCTGAAAAACAAATAATTGAGGCATACACAAAATATAACTACTTTATAAACTTGTAAGATTTATGTGTATGAAACATTTGTAAAGAAGATGTAAACTTATGTTTACATCCACTTCATTTTTACCTTGGCTTACATCCACTTCAATTGCTTATATCCACTTCATTTCAACTTTGTGGATAGTTGTCTCATTTGCAATCATACCACATCTCCTTATTTTTATTTTGGGAAATAGTGTTTAAGTCTCTTTAGTAAGGAAGAGAAAACTTACAGATTTCAGTTAAAACTTAATAAAAATTTTAAAGTAAAACATCCACTTTATTTGATCTTTGGTGGATGGTTGTCTCATTGGCAATCATACCTCATCTCCTTATTTTTATATGAAATAAAGTTATCAACGTTGAGACCATAGTATTTCCTGAATTTCACCCTGTTGTATGATATGATGGAAAATTTTATAACACATAGATGATAAATAAATAAATTAGAAAGTTTTATCATCAGATCCTAGATTTTGTCTGTGTACTAAATATTTCATTTAAAAAAAAAAACCAATCACCTAGCAATTAATATTTGACTAAGGATTATAACTGTGTGTAACACTGCAGATAGATAACCAGATCACTCTCTCGTTAGAATTGTATGGTATTTTTTGAAGCACATAGATCAACACAGAAATGTCAATAAATTGTTGTTCACAGTAGATTATGTAGATACTTTTACACAGTTTGAGAACTTCTTTCTGAATGTTGATTATGTTATATTACAACAAACGGTTTTTTAGCAAACCTGACCCAAAAGGTCAAGTGAGCTATTCTCATCATTGTTGTCATTATCATCTTCTGTCTTTATCTGTGAACTTTTACAAAAATCATCTGTTCTGAAATTACTGTGTCAATTTGAAGTAGAACCAAACTTGCCCATCATTATGAGATAAAAATGTTTGAAAATTGGGTTTGATGATCCAATCTGCAATCAACATGGCTGACATTGTTAAAAATAGAACATATTGGTAAAATGTAAAAGTTTTGTCTATTATTTTGGGGGCCTTGGTGGCAGAGTGGTCTAAGTAGTTCAACTACTGTAATCACTAGCCAGTCAACACTGAGGTTGTGAGTTCAAACTGCGCTCGTGCAGGTGCACTCGACTCTAATCTTAATTGACTAGGATTCTCAGTTTTCCTACCAAAGGTTGGTGGTTTTCTCCGGGGACTCCGGCTTCCTCCACCAATAAAAACTGACCGCCATGAAAAAGCACAATAGTGTTGAAAGTGGTGTTAAACACCCATCAATCAATCTATTATTTTGAGAACTGCTCAAGATAGAGAAAATTTGACAGTTGCAGACATATTCAGGATGTTAAAATCTACGTACTACCCATTTACATTAAAACTTTCAGGAAACTTCTTATAAGAGTTATTCCCTGTAAAACACAAATTTAACAATTGTTTTAAAAATTTTTGCCTATTATCTAGAAAAACTATGATGAATACAGATACACTTTAGATTGCAAAACTGATAAACAAGACAAGATTGACATAAAATTCAAATGATGGAAATTGTCAGTAGACTCCTCATTGGAAAGTTTTTGCACTTTAATGATAATTTTACCATTTATTTGCATTTTTACTTTTTATCTGGAAATCTATTATAGATACATAAAATCTTTAAATAGCAAAAAATATCAGCAAGACAAGATCTACGAAAAAGTCAAGCACATTGCGTAAATTGTCAATCAATGACGTTAATGAAAATTTTTATCAAATTCTTGCATTTATGCCTAAAATTTTGAAAACTATAATAGATAGAGAGAAACTTTAAATTACAAAAATGATCTACAAGACTTAGAGCCTCTAGTTTGACACTCCAAGCTACCACAACAATTTGTCCCGAACTTGGTAAGATTTATGGAAGGTTTATTGGAACATTTTCATTTTTTAGAACAGCTCAGAAACAATTAATTATGGTTTAGATTATCTGGAGTAAAGCTTGGAAATAGTTTTTGTGTGACGAACAATTCCTAAAAAATTGTTTTAACAAGAACATCTTCTCAAAACAAACATGGGCAAACATTTGCACTATACATTTAACATTCTCATGTTCATACATATGTATTCACTTACAATCTTCAATAATTCTGAAACATCATCCTGTGTTTGTTTTAAGTTTGGTGAGAACAATGCATAAGATCAGGTCTAGATCTCCTTATGAAATATTAGTTGCGAAACAACACAACTGTTTTCAGAATCATTTTAAGGAATATGAGAACTTACTGTTTTCATAATTTAAGGAATATGAAATTTGTACTGTTTTTATATTTTAAAGAATATGAGAATTTGCATTGTTTTTATATTTTAAGGAATATGATAATTTGTACTGTTTTTATATTTTAAGAAATATGAGAATTTATACTGTTTTTATATTTTAAGGAATATGAGAATTTGTACTGTTTTTATATTTTAAGGAATATGAGAATTTGCATTGTTTTTTAATACTATCCAATATAAGTTACTTATTTTTATTCTTTTGAAATGAAAAAATGATTGTTGCTATAAAGATGATTGTTGCTATAAAGTTAAATAACTGTGTACGTGTTTGCAAATATTTGAGGGATAAATTATTTTCCACTTTGAATACTTTAGTAAACAGATCTTTTTAGTTTTTTTTTGCTTGATTGTACTGTTTTGCTCGGTTAGTTTTTTGTTTGTTCATATGACCTTAAGGGCTAGTATTAACTGTAATTTAACTTAATAAGGCATCTTAAATCCCTTCATCTATTGACAATTCATAAATTTTCACCTTTAAAACCATTTTACAAATTGAAAATATTTGGCTTCATTGCTCCTATGAGTATTTCGTTTCGAACGTTTATCCAGGGTTTTTGCAGATGAACCACACAGTTACCAAGAATAGAACATATGGGAAAATGAGATAAAAAGATACTTTTTCATGACTTTTTCTATTAATATTAAGCTTATATTATTTTAAACTTTGTATAATAATTAATTACAGATAACTTGTAAATTGTTGTTCCAATTGACCTAGTTTTGACCCTTAAAAAATGTCATGACAATAACAGTTTTCCTAGCTGTTGTTATGCCCCTTTGCATTTATTGATATTAGTTATAGGTCAATGTTAGATTTTCATACTTATCTTTTGCAAATTATCATTAATAGTCTTTGTGTCTATTTTTAGCCTGTAAATCTTTGTGTCTATTTTTAGCCTGTAGATGAAAACCTTCTGAAGGCAGATAAGAATAAAAAGGTAAGTCGGTATCATAATAGCACTCAAATATTTAGGTATCTAATCTTTGACCTTTTCCACATCCATGTCAAAGGTCAAAGTATACAAACTATATATTCTCCTTCTAGATAAAGATAGAATCTCATCAAGAGATGTGGCATATTTCCCATAAATTTATTTCACTTAAGGGGTGAAAATTTATAATTGATAAAACTGAGTGGACTTTGAATATCAAAGAGCAAAAATAATTTTACTTTTAAAGATTTTTGAAGAACTTAACATATTTCACATAATGTCTGAATGTTATTCAGCTATACATTTTTTTACTTTCCATTTCAGTCTCCATTTTCAAAAGATTGAATCTACCAACTTTTCCCCATGACGACTTCAATAGCAATACTATTTTTAAATGGAATGAAAAATTAAAAGCATTACTCTTCGAATAAATAATGTTCAAAAACTTTCTTAGAAAATTCCGTGACAATTGTATCTACCAGTAATCATTTATAAAAATTTTAGTAAAATATCACAAGAATGAAATTTCTTTTTTCTGAAAAATGGGAAAGTCCATAGGACAGTTTTTATAGAGGTTTATATACTGCTACAATCTTATAATAGTCTTAATCATTGTTTCTTACCTATAAACAAATGTGTGAATTGAAATGACATCCTCTTATCACATTACAGAAAAATGAGCCACCAAAGAAGTCTAAAATAATTAATAAGAAACCAGCTGCTGATGATGATGACACTTCTGTTTACAATATGGATAAGTAAGTTTAAGTAATCCCTTTCTGATAGAGTCAAGAAAGAATGGTCTAAATTATCTCCCTTGACAAAAGGGAAGGGGATGATGACACTTCTGTTTACAATATGGATAAGTAAGTTAAAGTAATCCCTTCCTGATAGAGTCAAGAAAGAATGGTCCAAATTATCTCCCTTGACAAAAGGGAGGGGGATGATGACACTTCTGTTTACAATATCGATAAGTAAGTTAAAGTAACCCCTTCCAGATAGAGTCAAGAAAGAATGGTCCAACTTATCTCCCTTGACAAAAGGGACGGGGATGATGACACTTCTGTTTACAATATGGATAAGAAAGTTAAACTAATCCCTTCCTGGTATGGTCAAGAAAGAATGGTCCAACTTATTTCCCTTGACAAAAGGGAGGAGGATGTCAATTTGAGATGACTTAAAAATTCAGGTCTTATTATTAAATTGTTGAAAATATTCACACTAGACTCATGGCATCAACGAACCTGTATTGACTGTTTCATAGCATTTACTTCATGAAGTTTCTTACTGGTTTTCTAAAACATTTAAGAACGCAAAGGTTTAAAACTGAAATGATTTTTATTACTAAAAAAAAGTAAATTTCTCAGGAATCGCCAATGCTTCTTTGATTTTGAAGACTAAATAAAAACCAGAACCACATGAGTATAACATAGTAAATGTTTGACTCGTGAAAATTACCTTTTCCAAAGTACATTAGATAAAGATTTTAACTATTAAATCAGAATTGGTGATTGTCTTTACTGAAACGTTCTTAAGTAATGAAGTTAGCTATAATGGAATAGAATTTTTGTAAAATATTAGTTCTTAGCGAAAATTTGTCATATCATTATGAATACTGTAAACCAACTAATTTTCGTGAGTGATTTATTTTTGCGATTTTCGCGAGTAGATAAATTTCGCGAATATAAATCGTCGCGAATATGTAAAACTTGGATTTTTCCATACTTAACTACATCAAGTAAATTGAGAATCGCGAAATTAAATCACCGTGAAATGGGCTAGAAAGGGCTAAACGCTAAATAAAGTATCCGTGAAAATAAGTTGGTTTACAGTTAAAGGGCATGTGGGCTATACAGCAATGAGATATATACCTAACAACATAAAAAACCAAAACACATCTTGTTTATATACTGCAACTAAGGTTTATACCAATAAGTAATTTTCCTTTTAGTCATATATTCAAATCACCTCTGCTTAAGATTGAGGATGATTCATCTAGATTTCATGCCTTCACAGATTGTAATGAAACATCTTTTAGTATAAAATGAGCATAGGAAGTCCTCATCCAAATTTTATGAAACTCAACTCTAGAGTTATAAATTAGAAATTGAGAATTTTTTGTCTCTGCACTCTTAACTTAAGCTTGCCTCATGCAAATTTTATGAAACTCATACACAATGCTAAAAACAAAAACTTGCAGACAGAGTTTGAATTTGGGCAGCGAGTCACTTACACTTCTAGTGTTATGCCCCTTTATAACTTGGAAAATTGCTATATTTTCTTTCTGAGAAATTTACTGGACACAACATAACTTATCAGAAAACTTTTTACATAAATAATAAAAAAACAACTTTGAAAATAACATAGCACAAGATACCTAAGACTAGAACCATAGAACTTTTTAAAAACTAGCAGTGACATCAAATGTTCTCAAAAAGTATATTTACGTATTATATGCATGCTTGAGATGGGGCATTTGTGTCCTCGGACACAGTCTTTCATTTTATTGTATATTCAGTTGAAATTGTTGACATGAATGTTTAAAATCAACCCATCAATCCTTCATTTAAATATTTTGGTGTATTGTTTTCAGTATTTGTATATTCTGTGGTGAAAGGAATGAAAGTTTTACAGAAGAAGGACTTGATTTACATTACTGGAAACATTGTCCAATGTTAAAACGTTGCACAAACTGTAAACAAGTGGTAGAAATAGCAACATACACAGATCATTTACTGAATGAGTGTGAGGCGAAAAATAATTACTCAAAATGTAACCGATGTACTGAAGCCATTCCAAAGTCTGAATATGATCAACATGTGTCTGAAAAAAGTTGTAACGGTAAGTTACCATGGTGATCTTTTGCTGGACAAGTATGACATAATTTGAATGTTAAAGCAGATATAGTAAAGGTTCTTAAATGTACTTATATGAACTGCATGCATCGGAAATAAAGTTTTTATGGTAAGTCAGTCATCAAAACAAATTGAAAAATAAAACCAAAATAGTAGTTTCCATAATTGTTTTGAATTTATCATGGATGACAACTATTTGTCTTGTTTTCTGCTTTGTTATTTAGATTTGTTTTCCAATCATTTCTGCAGTTTATTCCTGTGTTATATTTATAGGTTTCATAACGATATGTTTAATTTCAATATAATAATACACGAGCCTTTGGGGAGTATATTATTACTATTTAAATTGAATGAAGAGAGTTGACATCAAGCGATATTCAACTCTCACGAGTTGTTTAACCTATTTCTCTTATGGTCAACTCTCTTTTTGTGTTAAATTAAAAATTCTGTGATTCGTTGGTCTAGTCTTTTGCACATGCCGTGACGTCATATGTCCTTTTCCAGCTTCAAACTTTAAAATCAGACATTTTAAAACTTTTTGTACGCTTGAGAATGTAATAAAATTTGACAAAAAGAAGATTTCAAGTTGAAAAGTGTGAGTGTTTTGTATATTATTGAATAATCACATGTATGTCTGTTGCCATGGACGAAATGTACATCGTCTTAACCTTTGAAAGTTATCAATGACCTAACAAAAGCCAATGGAAATATCGAAATATTGTCTCATGATGCTGGATAAGCCAATCAAATTAACGCAGTTTTCGTATCACACTCTGTGCAGTGTGATACAAGATGTATTTCTTCATGCAAGAAATAGATAACAGGCCACAAACATAAGAGAATATCATCATTAATCACTTGAATGACTTTTTTTACAATGTCATTGAGAGTTTTCTGTGATTAACCAAAGAATAGAAGGATCTTCCCAATTATAGATAGTTGTTTGAACACTTTTGATAAAGTAGATGGTAAGCCTTAATCAGGATTTGTCACAAACTTTCTGATTGAAGTTTGAAGGTAGTTTGACATCCTACTGTTAATATTCCACATTATACATCAGATATGAACTTTGTCAATTTTTTTTCAGCTGCCAAAAGTTCATCAAACCACTGTCCACTATGTCATCAGAATGTCTCGTCTGGTGAAGACGGCTGGAAAAACCATCTAATGGGCAAAGATGGCTGCAAACAGAATCCTCGTCGTCTCCTCTCACTTAATAAAAATCCACCAACAGGTAAATACACATCCTTTCATACAGTTAAGGTCTGCAAACAGGTAAACACAAATCCTTTAATACAGTTAAGGTCTGCAAACAGGTAAACACACATCCTTTAATACAGTTAAGTTCTGCAAACAGGTTGATACACATAAATTACATTTACAATAATGGTTATGGCTATGCATAATTTATAGATTTCATACAAAAGTGAAATTTCAATTATCTGTTTTATTATCACTTCTTTTTCTCTTTTCTGAAATAATTTCACCAGGAATCTTATTTAAAATATTGACAAAGTGCCAGACTCCTTTAGTTAAGTCTTTTTTAGAATAACTAGTAAATTAATTCCTATGCTAAACAAAGTAAAATTTTTCCTCTTTTTTGACTAAATTATTTTTTTTTAAATCACACTATTTGATAGTATTCATGTTTATTTATATGCATTATGTATAACTCTTACTTACTCACCTTAAAAAAACTTGTATTTTTCCTCTGTTCCTCTTTTGAACGACAAAATTATTTTATATCTCTACCTGTGTGACGTTTTCATTCTTACGTCAAACACGCGATTCTACGCCAGAGTTAATGTTAAAATTACAATTCGGTCCCAGTGCTTAAAATCCCTCGATCCTTTATGGGTTAATTTTGCATACGTAAATAAAATACAAAATTAAGTTAGCAATGAAGGAGGTTGTTAAATGTGATATATGCTTCTTTGTGCTTCTTTGTTAAATATTTGTTTGTTTTTGTTGTGATTAAGATTGTGACACGGTGTTGACTGCTGTACCCCTATTTTGACACTTTTACCCTTTATGTCTGTTTGTTTTATTCACGCATCGTTGTCAATATAATGGAATTTGATGCGACTGTCATACAAGTGAGAGGTTTAGCGCTATAAAACCAGGTTCAATCCACCATTTTCTACATAAGAAAATGTCTGTACCAAGTCAGGAATATGACAGTTGTTGTCCATTCGTTTGATGTGTTTGTGCTTTTGATTTTGTCATTTGATTGGGGACTTTCCAATTTGAATTTTCCTCGGAGTTCAGTATTTTTGTGATTTAACTTTTTAGTACCTTTGAAACTAAATGTTTTTTTTAAAGTATTCTGATTCTGCTTGGTGTAAAAGTTTCAGATAACACTGTATTTAATATTTCAGGTGGAACATCAAAGAATAAACCAAAAGCCACAGGAAAGAATAAGAAGACTCCAAGATAACTTTCGAAGACTAGACAATTTATAGTGCTATAATTTATAGGAGAATATTATTATGATATATAGTTAGACTATATGACACTATTGTACAATATTGAGACAGTGATCACTGACAAATCTTTAGCAGGGATAATTTTCTTAGTTTCTATTTGAAATTAAATTCTTAGAAAGAGAAATATCCAAGATTAAGATTTATGCGAGAGCATTAGCTCTGAGTGATACATCTAGTTTGGAGTCATAGATATGGCCCAGGAATTTAGATCTGGCTTTGAGTGGAATATTTTGGTTTGGTTCACAGATCTGGGATTACATCTTAGATGAGTTTCTGAGATGCTATTCAGGGTCTTCTGGTCAGGTTCTTGCACTGATGTCACCCATCCTGATTTGTTCATCAGTTACCCTTATCTGCCTCTGATGGTCAGATTTTAGAACAAGACATGTTTTCATACAGGTTGGTTTAACAGAATCAACAGTGACTGACACTAATGGCAAACATCCCTTTCCTGCACATGGAACCTTGAACGACTGTGGTTTTGTTTCTATGCCACATGTTATAATGCATCTTTGTAAACTATCAGCTCTCCTAAAATTCCTGATAAATGTGAGTTCTGCAAATAAGCTTCATACAGGAAGATGTTTTATCTGTGATATATATGCTACAGTACTGTTTATTGTTGAAGACCATATTTTGACCTTCAGATGTCTTTGTGTCATCTGATTGCTGTCTCATTGATTTATCACACTCATCCTTTAATTGGTATATCCTTTTATTGATATCTATCAGCAATAATGATTCATGATAAGTTGATCACAGAAATGTGCACTGGAACCTGAAACTACTGTTTATGATTCACATTAATCGGACTCTGATATTTATTTACATTTTACCATATTTACAGTGGATATCAAATCAGAAGTAACTCTTTATACTTATTTTAGAAATTAAAGGATAAAGACTACATCAGTTAGGAAATTTTGTACTAGAAAAAAATTACATTATGTCTTCAGTGAATTTAAGATTTTTTTGTAAAGAGTATTTAATTTGTCTGAGTATTGCATAGTTATAGATTATCTATGGTTTTTCAAACCAGAGGATTTTCTCAGATACAATCTCATCGAAAGGCGACAAACCTAAGATGAGATGTGGCATACAACTTCCTCGAGTTTGAAAGACCACATGTTTATCGCTATTTTGTCGATGATGTCGTTGACAGTGGCACAAGTTCCTTGGTTTCTATCGATAATTTTCTATCTCAAGCAAGAAGCATGATAAGAAAAATTATCACAAAAAAAGATCAAAAGAAAAATACACAAAATAGCTATAATATGGATTTCATAATAGTTATATTATGTCTCATCAGTTTCTACTTATATTTAAAAAAGTATTGTATTGCTTAAAAAGCATCTTTTTAGGAAAATGTTATCCCAACAATATTTTTAATGGCCTGGGCTATAAGGCTTAGGGTTAATTATAAAGACTGTAATGTAAAATGCTGTAATAAAAGGGAGTTGTTAACATCATGGGACCAACAGTTATTAATATAAAAAGACATTAAATTCGTTTTCTAAAGCAATTATATATCTTACCAAAGTTGTTCTTATTGTTTTTAAAAAATATTAGATGTGTCAAATAAGATTTTACTGGAGTAGGGAGGTGAACTGTCCTCTGTTTTAATTCTTCCATTTACATTTTATTTATGTTTATAAGGAAGTAAGTTACATTAATGTATTTTTCATCAGACTGTTTTCCAGGTAAACAGTTCCCTATTCTGCCCTTCTTAACATATGAGTATAAAATTGAGAATGGAAATGGGGAATATGTCAAAGAGACAACAACCCGACCAAAGAGCAGACAACAGCCGAAGGCTACCAATGATTCTTAAACGCAGCGAGAAAATTCCGCAACCGGAGGTGGTCCTCAGCTGGCCCCTAAATAAAATTGTGTGCTAGTTCAGTGAAAATGGACGTCACACTAAACTCCAAAACATATAGATGAACTAAAATTAAAAAACATACAAGACTAACAAAGGCCAGAGGCTCCTGACTTGGGACAGGTGCAAAAATGCGGCGGGGTTAAACATGTTTTGTGAGATCTCAACCCTCCCCCTATGTAGAAAAAAGAAACACATAGCAATATGCACAGTAAAACTCAGTTAAAAGAAGTCTGAATCCGTTGTCAGAATAGGTAACAAAAGAAACTAAGCAAAATGACAATGATACATAAATGAACAAAGGACTACTAGCAGTTACTGACATGCCAGCTCCAAACCTCAATTAAACTGATTGAAAGATTATGTCTTCATCATATGAAAATCAAGTACAATCCCTCCCGTTAGGGGTTTAGTATCATACCATCATAAAATATATGAGAAGAACATAACCCGTATCATGCCAACAACTGGTTTTAGAATAAATGTGTTTATTTCCGATGCAAAGACCCTATGAGTGAATCAATATTGGTACCAAAATATGCAATCCTTAATGACTTGACAACAGTATCGTAACTATATCCTTTCCAAATAAGTCTGTTTAAAGGTTTGGTATGTTTTTTTAAAGTTCATTCATAGTTAAGTTTTCTTTAGGGGGGGAGGGGAGGCTGATTTTTATAAAGATAAAGGAATGGTCAAATGTTCAACCACTCAATATAAAAGATAAAATGTAAAAGAAAAAGAAAATTTAAAAACACTGATTTTATTATTAAAACATTACTTATGTAACCGTCATAATATTTTTTAATGTTTTTAATACAGATTGAATTATTTTACATTTTAAGAGTCGAGGTATGAAACTATCAATTTGAATATGAAGTCCTAAACTAGATGAATCATAGGAAATTCTTATTTCATCCAATAAAAAATTTACTAAGTAAGTTTTTTTATTTTAACTTCTATCAAAAATTAAATTGTGCTGATTTGCTAGATTTAGTAAACAAGACATAACAAGGTATCATATGTTATGTCTTTCTATGGAATAGTGACGTTTATTTCATGAGTTTTCTGCAATTATAAAGACTCAAACCAAAACAGATGATAAAATTACAGATGCTGTAATTAACTATGTAAGTGTTTCACGAAATACTGTAGATAAAAGTCTTGAGACAACCATTTTTTTTGCATTTGTTTATTAGTTTAAGATATATATACCATGAATATTATACAATAGCTTATTTCAGTTATAAAAAGAAAACTTGCCCTCCAAGATAAATTCCTCTGGTGCCAATAGATGTATTGTTAAGATTTATTTATGTATAACTATTGAGTAACATATTATAGAATAAAGAATCTCTTTCATATCAAATAATGACTCTTAGTTTCACCTCTTGCATACTTGGTCTGTTATGAACTATGGCCATCTTGCATAGATGGGCGTTATGCAAAATTATAATCATTCAGGCATCATGCTCATATGGACCTTATGAAAAAGTACCATCATTTAAAATATTGCAAGATTGGCTGTATACAAATTTTCCATAATTCAGACACTTCTCATAAAATGGCTGTATAACAATTGTCAAATCAGAAATATAACCAAAGGAAAATAAATCATGGTGTTTTAATGTATGACACACAATCTCTACAGGGTTGACAATAGCAAAAAAAGATTTTTTGCTGTATTTCTGTTCTTTATTCTAACGTTACTGAGAAATGGTTTTGCATCATTCTTACACTATCAATAATTAAAACGTTTATTCCGTGATGCAACTGATTTACCAATAAACTAAACCATTGCTTCAAATAAAGGATAGAGTTTAAACTTCATAGAAGATGGTTATTAGAAATATCAATAAAGGCAACAGTAGTATAGCTCTGTTCAAAAGTCATATATCTATTGAGAGAAAACAAATTCTGGTTACAAACTTAAACCGAGGGAAACACATCAATTATAAGAGGAAAACAATGAATCAACAGAACACTGAAGTTCAACAAAACAAACGACAATGCAACATACATAGAAACGAACTATTAGATAACAACTGCCAGATTCCTGACTTGGTACAAAATCCATCTGTCATATTTTACATGTGACACAGTTATCTAACTGTTCCAAAACCTTGAAATGTTACTTTACCACATACAGAGTAAACTTTGCCGTATCCAATGATAGGGATTACCTATTGCGATCAAGTTGCATCCTTTTTCATTTGAAATGTTATCATGGTGAGTGTTGTGACTGTATGTTGGTCAGTACAGTATCCAGAATTGAAATTTATGATATTGATTTCATACCGTGAATATAACCATTCATTTCTTTTTATGAATATTATACAATTACTCTCTTTAAGGTGGTATGGGAGTCTAGTCTAAATTAAAAATGATAGAATTTGTTCATACTTTGCCAAAACGTAGTATATATTGATATTTCAAAAATATAATAAAAATTATAGGTCACAGAGCATTTCCTCAAGCTACAGGTTGTGACAAAATGACACATTTTGAATGGATTATACAGGAAAAAACTTTAATCATTATGTGATTAGAATTTAAATTGAATGATAGAATTGTAAAATAAAATACGAGAAGATAGCTTTTTGAAAATGCTTTGAGAAAATTAAAAGAAAAGATCGGGTCACCGTACATTTTTTCCGGCCTAAATTCAAAAAAGCAAAATTCCATGTAGATTCCTTCAGAAAATGCACTATTTCAGAGTTACCTCCCCTTAAAATGGCAATTTAAAAAAAATTAAAAATTAAGGACAAATAATCTACACTTAAAATATTAAAATTTATAACTATAAATTTGTACTTTTAAATGAAAATTATATTAGATATCTGCATTCCTGCATCAAATTTTGCAAACTTGATTGAATTCTGGACCTTATGTTCTGTGTTTTTTTACAATCCAATATGGCTAAAGACACCCATACCACCTTGAGTGGTTTTTTTGACTTTTAAAAAACTTATTCACTGATGCCAATGGCCGAAGCAAATTTAAGTTTTTCGAAGCTCAATTATACTTCATATTTACCGAAAAAAAGACAAAATGTTTCATTCTATATTCCTACATAGAAAACTAATTTAAAGACAGCAACAAAAAAATGGAGGTAATCCTATGTGATCCTGGTAGGGCAAGCAGATCCTGCTCCACATATTGTACACATCGTACTGATCATGGTCAGAACCAGCTCGAGGATGTCATAATCGGGAAAGAGAGAACAGGATTGTGTTTCGACTCTGGTCAACTTATTGATCCTTTAAATAAACTTATTCTTAAAGGTTACCAATTCAACACTGTAATTAGATGATTAAATATTGTTTTATTGGTATTAATATTGATTTTGTTATCGGTAAATGAAAAGAAAACAAATTTTTTTTGTCATATACATATATACATTCATTGATCTACAATCTGTCGATACTAGTATCTTGGCATTGCACAAGGTCATGTTTTTCTCTGCCTGTTTATGACAACTTTACACTAAATCCATTGGATGTTCGATGTGTACTGATTGATAATTTAGTCTTAGATACATGATTTTTTGTCGAGCTTGCGACTTTAGTCGCTGAAAGCTCGACATAAGGATAGTGATCCGGCGGCGTTAACTAACTTCTTAAAAGCTTTATATTTAAGAAGGTGGAAGACCTGGATAAGTCATACTTTGTATTTAGATGCCTTGTGTTACGAAGTTTCCGTCTGTCACATGTCCATTGTCCTTGACCTCATTTTCATGGTTCAGTGACTACTTGAAAATAAGTAAAGATTTTTTGTAATGTTAATTTCTCTCTTAAGATGAGTAATAGGATAATTATATTAGTTATGTGCATACCTTGCAAGGTCCTCATGCCTGTCAGACAGTTTTCACTTGACCTCGACCTCATTTCATGGATGAGTGAACAAGGTTAAGTTTTGGTGGTCAAGTCCATATCTCAGATTCTATAAGCAATAGGTCTAGTATATTTGGTGTATGGAAGGATTGTAAGGTGTACATGTCCAACTGGCAGGTGTTATCTGAACCTGACCTTATTTTCATGGTTCAGTGGTTATAGTTAAGTTTTTGTGTTTTGGTCTATTTTTCTTATACTGTATGCAATATGTCTACTATATTTGGTGTATGGAATGATTGTAAGGTGTACATGTCCAACTGGCAGGTGTCATCTGACCTTGACCTCATTTTCATGGTTAATTGGTGAAAGTTAAATTTTTTGAGTTTTGGTCTTTTTTTCTAATACTATATGCAATAGGCCAACTAAATTTGGTGTATGGAAATATTTTATGATGTACATGTCAGTCTTGCAGGTTTTATTTGACATTGACCTCATTTTCACGGTTCATTGCTCTTATGTTTTGGTCCATTTTTAAACTATAAGCAATAGGTCAACTATTTTTGTATGGAAGGATTGAAAGTTGTACATGCCTGGCATGGTCCATCTGACCTTGACCTCATTTTCATGGTTCATTGGTCAATGTTTAGTTTTCTTGGTTAAGTCTGTTTTTATGAAACTATAAGCAACTATATTTAGTGTATTGAATGATTGTAATTAAGGTGAACATGTATTTCTTGTTTGGTTTAAATGACCAATAATGAAAATAAAATGTGAAATGTGAATGATATAAAATGTAATTATATCAGAGAAAGGTATTGAACGCCATTCTAAAACATGAACGGGCATATTACGTTTCCGCATTTTTAGCAAAAATCCAGTTTCACGTTTCCGCATTTTCGTGAAATAGAGTACTATAAAAATGCGGAAAAGTAGGAATTTTAATGCGGAAACTTAAAACGCCGGCATGAACCTGTATACATAGGACAGTCACGCTTGTCATTTTCAGGTAATATACATGTTGATCTGTAATACCTGGAAATGTCAAGGAACATCACTACCTATATAGATATACAGAATGTACCATATCAAAGAAATTCGTAAAGCATTAACATTCATTATTTAGGAGGGATCAAGGGAAAGGGGGGGGGGGGGGGGTAAAGATTT